CGAACTTGTATTGAAGTGGCTGCAGCTCACTTGCAGTGTTGTGCTTTAACCTGTTGTGCCACCAGGGAGGACCCCAAAGTTACCGTTTAAAAACAAATAAATTAAACCTGTCCTTTGCTTAAAACCTTACAGTCTTGTTGAAAACCTTCTATGACTTTTTGTACTTGGGATAAAATCCAAACTCTGCCATGTTTAAGAAGATATTGAATGATCTAACCCTTGCCTACACTAAGCTTAGCTTTTTCTACTCACCCTTCAGCCCCCTGCCAACTGCCTCCTTCTCTTCTTTATTCCTGAATTAAGCCACACTGTTTCCATCCTTGAAACAGTTTTCAGCTCCTCAAATGCCTGATTTCATCTCTTATGTCAGGTCTCAGCTCAATTTTCAGCACCTTAGACATCATGCTCCTCTTCCTCTCCCATTCTCTGCCACTGCACACTGACACAGGTTTCCATTTTACTTGTATACATTTGGCTTCTTATTTACTTGGATTCCATGCTCAAAGAGGAAAGGAACGATGTGTGCTTTGCTCTTCACAGGGCATAGTACAGCCTTTGATGGATAAAACACCTTCAATTAAACATGGAAAGAAAGTCAGGTGAGAAATGGAAAAATAGAGTGGGAGAAACAGATGGGGAGAGATAAAGAGGAGAAGAGAGGAGAGAAAGAGGAGAAAGAGGATGAGAAAGAGAAGAGAAAGAGTACTGGAGAACAGGAGGAGGATGGGAGGAAAAGGAGGAGGGAGGTGAAGGAAGAAATTCGTTAGGTCGGCATCCTCATAAAGAAAATAAATGCTTAGAATAATGGAAAAAATAAAGGCAAGGAGAAACACCTTAAATTTTCTTCCCTCCCTCTTTCTGTCCTTCTTCCCTTTGTCCCTTGATCCTTCCTCACTCTTTTCTTCTTTTTCTGGCATCTACCCTGTGTAGATGCTGTATAAGTTATTTCAGCTAATCATCTTTCATAACTCTATGAGGAAGGTTAAAAAATTCATTTTACTGGCAAGAAAAAAGAAGCTCAGCAAAGTTAAAAACTTAGCCCAAGATCTCTCAGTTGGGCTGAGTTGCGTGTGAGGTGCTTTCTGTATCCTTTCTGCTCCCCACTAGTCACTAGCTGCTTGCCTCCTCCACAGGGTCATGCACTCTGGCAGTTTCCCCCACCCCGCTCTCCCAGTGTTCATGTTTTTGATCAAATGCTATTTGAGGGCCTTCCCCGGTGGCACAATGGGTTGGAGCACAGAGCTAGGATGCCATCTACACCTGCTTCAGCATAAGTTCGATCCCAGGCCAAGGAGGTGACCCACATGGCGCGGCAGACCTCTCCTGACCTGCCCGCTGCTCCCCTCAGCAGTGTACTTTCAGTCCGCCTGTTCTGCTCCCCACTCTGTCTCTGGTGAGTCCTCTCACCCTCCCTGAAACTCTGGCCCGTACCCAGTTCTGTATGCATAAATGAATAAGTCGCTTGGAAAAAAGTGCTATTTGATGAAAAGTATATTATCAGATAACCCACCTGTACTAAAGGACCGGACTGGAATTGGGAAGCAGAGGAGCCGTCAGTCCCTCCACTAGAGGTCTCCATCACCGAGTGAAGCTGCCATTGGTTGGTGGGCTTTGAGGAAGAGGAGGGGCCAGTTTCCATGGTATGAACACAACACAACTCTGGTAGCTAACACTGCCTGCCTGTTCTCTGTGCTTCAGCTTCCAGACAAAACGTGAGTATTTTTATATTACTATATTCAGATGTTTACTGAAGTTATTATTGGTAATTAGTATTTATTAGAATTTACAAGTATTATTTATTCTTTTACATTGAGACACCTGTACATATAAGATAGAAATTTAAGGATGCACGTGAAGAAAATGTACTAAATTTTAGTTGTCACTTGTAAGCTGGTAAATTGCATTTTTTAAAAAAAATAATTTTAAGAGAAATCCTTCAATTAGTTGTACTATTTATTTTAAAAATAGTATTGAGATATAATTCATATATCATTAAAGCCATTTACATAATGTACATGACTCAGTGATTTTAATATAGTCAGAGTTGTGAAACTAACCCCCTCCACTTTCTAATTTTAAAACATTTCATCACCCCAAAAAGAAGTCCTATCGCCATTAACAGCACCTTAACCCAGACCTAGGCAATCAATAATCTACATTAAATCTGATTTGATTTGTCTCTTCTGACATTATACATAAATGGAATTATACAATCTATGGTCTTTGTGACTGTTTTTTTTCACTCAACTTATTTTTAAGGTTCATTCCTAGCATAGTATATTTAAATACTTTAATCCTTATTGTCAAATAATATTTCATTGTATGACTTCCACATTTTGATTATACATTTATCCACTAGTGGACACTTAGGCTGTTTCTACCTTTTTTTTTTTTTTTTTTTTAAAAAAAGGTTTTATTTTTACATAGAAGAATTGGGGTACTGGCCAGAGGTACAGTTGGTGAGAGGATCCACCAAAGACAGAGTGGGGAGCGGAGCAGGCAGACTGATGAAGTACACTGTTGAGGGGAGCAGCAGATGAGACAGGAGATGATTAATGCTGATATAAACATTTATGTACAAGTTTTTGTGTGAACATATATATAATTTCACTTCTCTTAGGTATACCCAAATAATAGTTACTGGTCATATGTTACCTCTATTTTTAATTTTTTAAAGGACTACAAAACTGCTTTTCAAAGTAGCTGCATCATTTTATATTCCTGTTACAGTGTATGATTTTTCCACACCTTCAGCAGCATTTCTTATTGTCTTTTTGACTCTAGTTAGTCTACTGGGTGTGAAGTGGTATCTCATTGTGCATTTGATCCTACATTTCCTCAGTGACTATGTATGTTGAATATCTTTTCATGTACTTATTAGATATGTATGTATATACTTATATATACATATTACATACATTTGTATCTATATACACAACATGTATATATACATACACTTTTTTACAAACTTCTATTTATATTTTTGTGATCATCCTTAATTGATTTTTTAATTGTTGATTTATAAAGTTCTTTATATATTCTGTATACAAGTTCCTGATGACATAGATGCTTTGTAAATATTTTCTCCAATTCTGTGATGACTTTTCACTTTATTGAAGGTATTTTTTACAGAATAATAGTTTTCAATTTTGGTAAGCTGTATTTTTATCTAACTTTTTTCTTTTGTTGCTATACTTTCAGTATTCTATTTGCCCAAGGCAATAAAGATTTATTACCATGTTTTCTTCTATGAGCTTTAGTTTTTAAAGTCTGATATCCAGGTCTGTGATCCATTTTAAGTTTTGTATATGGCATGAAATAGACAATAAACTTTATTCAATAGCTTATAAATACAGAGCTGTCTCAGTAACATTTAAAGACTATTCCCACATTGAATTTTCCTGGCATCTTTGTTGAAAAACAATTGACTGTAAGAGTTTATTTTTGTAGCGATGTAAAGACTAAAATATAAAGAATCCTGTGGAATTGCTCACTGGGAATAAAGGATTTTAGAGTTTCCCGATTGACACATCTTTTTCCAAAGTTGTTTTCTGTTATGGAATTGACCAAAATGTCAGATATGACAAAGCTCCACCAAGCTGTGGCTGCAGGGGACTGCAAGTCAGTGAAAAAGATTTTGAAGAAAGGTTTCTGTGACCCAAACTACAAGGATGTGGACTGGAATGACCGGACTCCACTTCATTGGGCTGCAATCAAAGGTCAGTGGGCAAGACCTGGGCATTCAAGTCACCAGGGAGTCATCTCTGTAGCAAGAGATGGTGCACTCTGGACCCAGATGGAACTGGCACTTACCAGCTATAGCACCTTAAGCCAGTTATTTAACATCTCTGGATATTAATGTATCCATCATTCACTATATTTGGGGGAAATATTGCTGCCTTGGATTCTTGTGGTGAGGATTCAGGAAGATAATAAGGTGTAATGTCTAGCACAGTTTTCTTGCTCTCAATTAATATTAGTCCTCTGCTCTTTTAATCTCTAACAAGAATGGGGCATTATACCTGCAGCTGTACACAGAACCCTGCCTATACCCCATGCTGAACATGGCTCAGTCAGAATTGGAGGAGGATGGTGGCAAAAATGCAGTCTATGGGCTTGTCGAGGCTGATGGCAACAGAACACCATTGAGGAACATTCAGAAAGTGCTGTGGTCAACTTTGCTGTTTAAAAATCTGTTCTGATTCCTGTTGATGACTGTGTTGGTGGAAAGTAAGATCCATTGCAGAGAACTTCGTTGAGATATTTTGCAGATATTAAAGTACCAAGTGATGGAAGCTATAAAAGCACCTTTTAGGGAACATGTACTACATGCTGGACACTTTGCTGTGTGAGGTGTGTCTCTAATTTCATTTGTACTTCACAGGGATTCCATGAAGTCAGTGGTAATATCCTTAATTTATGACTGAGGAAACCCAGCCTCAGATGTCTGAGGTGTCATAGTTAGCAAATGGTATTTATGAACCTACATCTATCTGGCTAGAAGATTATAATGACATCAAGGCACTGAAATACTTGTTTTGAAATCAGCACTAAGACAACTAAAAACTGAGTGGGCTTTACCAATGACTTGGGAGAGGAAGCAAATTTCCTAGGTGTCCTGAGTGAATGGAGAGAAGGGGAATATCCTAAGGGAACGACCAGGGGAGGGGAATGTTCCGGAAGGAGTACAAGGAATATTTGAGGGCCTCTGGCTCTGAGTGGAAGCAATGTTCAGGTGCAAAGGGTGGGTCATAGAGTCCCTGGTAAAAAGGGGAAGAAGGAAGGAGGAGGTATTGCTTAGAAACTGGAGGTGAACCAGTGGCTACTAATGTCTTCCCCTCCTTTACGGAATATAGGCTAGCCCCAGCCATAGGCTGCCAGGAACATTTATATTTTAACCTTATTTTTCCTCTTATTCCATCTAAGGGCACATGGAAGTGATGCACCTCCTGATAGAATATGGAGCTAGGCCCTGCTTGGTAACTGATGTGGGCTGGACCCCAGCTCATTTTGCAGCAGAATCTGGCCATCTGAACGTGCTCAAAACCCTCCATCTGCTTCATGCTGCCATCGATGCCCCTGACTTCTTTGGAGACACACCAAAGAGGATTGCACAGATCTACGGGCAGAAAGCCTGTGTGGCATTCCTGGAAAAGTATGGCTCATATATTTTCAGATATAGAGAAACAGGAATCTGTGATCAAGGTTTCTGTTGACTCAGTGGTCTCAGGCCAGTTAAGATGAAATATAAAAACCCAGCCAATTCTTTGATTTTTTTTTTTACTGAAATGACTAGTTTAGATATATTAAATCTATTGTCTCTAGAGTATATAAGATACAGTTACTACAATTACATATAATTTCAATAGTATGCAATTATTGTAATGTTATTTTATACCATGCAAAGATGACCTCAGGTAAAAGAGATGGGACATCAAGTTTAAACACAGGATGTGGTAAAAGATTCATAGGCCTCATTAAGATTTCTGAGCTCTTCAAAACAGCTGTGTCACATTGGCCAAATTAAATTCCCTTTCAAGCCATCAGTTCCCTCAAAGTGAAGCAGGTGAATTAGATTATCATCCATAAGATCCTTCTATCTTTTAAACTCTCCATTCTTCTGCAAATCTCATTTTCAGATACACACTATAGATAAGTTTTCTAACACCTGTCAATTTTTTCCTGTGAAAAAAAGCATACAAATAGACTTAAGTATTATAAGGATTGGAAAATAGTTATTTGTAGAAAATACCCAGGAGAACCAGTCTTAAAAATAGTGTCACTCATTGCAAACATTCAAAACCACAATTGAGATGATTTGAGAAATTAAAAGGAAGAACCCTGAGTCATGACTTGAAACTTCTTTCTTCTTCCCAGTCCTGCCATGATCCCCTACATTTGTTGCTCTCCATTCACTGTGGAACTTAACATCAGCAGACACTGTCCTCCGAACTTTTAAAAACTCTATCCTGCCACTGTGTGACATTCCTCCCTTTGCTCATTTTACCTATTCCTGGGTGGTCACAGGTATTAGAGAATATTGAGACATCTCCTTATTCCACATCTTCTTTCAATTCTAATCTATCACCTACCTGAAAATTACACTGCCTCTTCCTACTTTTTTTTTTTAAGATTTATTTATTTATGCATGCAAGATCTGGGGTATAGGCCAGTGGTGCAGGGTGGGTGGTATGACAGGTTTCACCAGAGACAAAGCAGGGAGCAGAGTAGGCAGATCTACTGAAATACACTGCTGAAGAGTGCAGTGGGCGAGACAGGAGAGGTCTGCTGTGCCATGTGGGTCTGCTCCCTGTCCAGGGATCAAACTCGTGTTGCAGTGACTGCAGATAGCTTCATAGTGCTGCACTTTAACCCATAGTGCTGCACTTTAGCCACCAGGGAGGGCCCTCTTCCTACTGTTCTTAACCTTCCAATTCTTTCTCCTTCTGTAGCTATAACCCAGAATTCATAACCTTAGATCAATCTCAGTCTTCTCCATGACTGCGCTTGGGCTGCTAAAGAAAATCCCCCCAGTATGTATATGGATGATACCAGAATTTCTAAGATTTCTACTTTCAGCACAGCTCTCACAACAGCCTGACTGTCTCTACCTGTTCCAGTCACCATCATACTTCATCATGTCCCTCAGAGATCATGATTTATATTTCATAGAAAATATTGAAGTCATCTGAAAACCTCTTTCACCTACATATTACATATGATCTGTCTGTTCAGTCTTTCCTTTTTGTCCTTCATTCTGTGAAATATAAGCGCTTGATCCAATCATTCATTTCCCATTAAGACCAGTCCTTTATTCTTTATTGCATCTCTCATTCTCTCTTCTGAATTAATTTGGTTATGTTTTTCTTCTAGTTCTTCTAGTCACTCCTTTTTGGCCTGTGAACACATTAAATAAATCATATTAAATGAATGAGCAAATAGTGGCCCTTCTAATATCTACTGTCTTCTTTGCTTTACTTTTTAGATATTTAGAAGTTAATCTGTGGTATTTTCTCTACTCCTCACCTACCTTTCAAAACCTGCTTCTATAATTGGATCAAATCAGTTCTCATACCCTATTTGATACTTGTTGCTAAATCAATGACCTCTTCTCAACTCATATCTTACTGGCAACTCTTCTTTCTTGCTTTATTCAATGCTACTCTAGACTAGATCTCTTAATGCCTCTCTGGCCATTTCTCATCATGATCTTCTCTGAGCTCCTATTTCTGCATGTCTTTTAGATACTGAAACTCCTCAGGGTCCTGTCCTTTATTTTCATCTACTGACTTTCTCTGAGCAATCTCAGACCCTTCCTATGAGAGTAATGAGTAGAGGAACATGATTTATCATCCCAGAATAACTGAAGTGGAGGAGTAATTTCCCCAAATAGTGGACTTTATTTTTACCAGGAAAGTGGGTGGCTGTGCTGAGCAGGCAGAAGCAGCAAAGGACATCCACATCATGTGTAAGTCATTTCTGTGTATCATCATCTCACATAAGGAACTTCCCTTCTGACGGTCACAGGGTTGAGAAACGAAAGGAATGCTGGGCAAGGGGAAATTAATCTGGATATTGAAAGACAGCTACGGCATGGTTAATAGAAGAGGTGAAAGATGCTTAATGTGGAGGAGAGATGCCAAGTTAGAAATGTCCATATGAGGAGGTGGGAATGATAGTGGAAGGATGAGTGACCTGGCTAAGGAGAGCATTTACATTAGAAAGAAATGGAGAACAAGTCCGGTGGGTGGGTGACTATAGTGATCTGGACAAGCAGATGAGCTTGAAATCAGGGCTTGGCAATATGAAATTATTGCTCCAGAAATGTTCCTCCTAGAGTGGAAGTGCTGGGAGCGGTGCTGTGCAGATGAGATCAGAGGCACTTAGACAAAAGGCAAGGAGACCACCTGAGGGGCTTCTTCATGATTCATGTTGTAAGCAGGTGAGCTTCTGAGCTAGGCTGAAGAAGAGAGAGGATGTAGGAAAAATCAGAAGAAACCTACACAGCATTTGTCAATTTTCTGAATATCCTAGCAATCTGATGGAAGAATTCACATTTTAATACAGTATCTTGAGGCAGAAAACCTCTCATTCAACAATATACTTAAAGCCTTACTATAGGCATGACATTGAACTAGATGCTAAAAAAAATGAGAATTCAGTAGCAATGCTGGACATCAAGCAGTTCCCTTTTTAAGAAAGGAAATGCGACCCTCCCAGATGGCGCAGCAGGTTAAAGCACAGAGGAAGTAGAAAGCTACTTCCGCATGAGTTCGATCCCTGCCTGCCCCGGAGGTGACCCACATGGCGCAGCAGACCTCTCCTGACCCGCCCACTGCTCCCCTCAGCAGTGTACTTCCTAGATCTGTCTGTCCTGCTCTCCATTCTGTCTCTGGTAAGTCCTCTCACTGCCCCTGCACCTCTGGCATGTACCCCAGTTCTGTATGCACAAATAAATAAATAAATCTTGAAAAAAAAAGAAAGAAAGGAAATCCTTCTGTAAATCACACTAATACAAGATAGAAAGTCACAAGGGTAAAGTGAGCAGGGCAGAGGAGGGACAGTGAATTCTGACAAGGACATGGAACATGCTCTGATTATTAAGAGATCAATTTTAGTTTGTTGAAAGAACAGGAGCTTCAGGACAAGCAGGTTGGCCACTTTCTGAATTTACTGTGCTTTTTTGATGTTTTGCACTTAAAATCCTATTTGCCCTTCCTGACCATCATCTGTCCTCTCCAGTTCCATTTGCACTGACACTGCCTCATATTTTATTTCTGACAGTAGCTTTCACCAGTGTATAAGTATGTGACTTATTCACCTTTAACCGCGTATGCTTTTCTGTAAATAAGCACACTTCCTATGTGTGTATGATGATCTATTTACCTCTCAACCTACCTCTTTATCACTTATACCTATTCATTCATGAATGCATAAATCCATAAATTTATTCATAAGTATATCGACAAACACATAATCATGTGCAACTGTAATTTGTTTTCTTATGTTTTTGTAGCTATACAATGAACAGACATGGCTCTTCTAGTTAGAAAAATACAATCAAAAAAATTATGGAAGGAAAGCAGCTTCCCAGTAATACAACTGTAGCTCGATAAATGGGAGCACTTTAAGAATTAGCAGTGCCTTCTTCAAGCTGAGCCCATGTCTTGGATTCCATTAACATCCAACTCTGGGTATCCCATGTTTCTGAAATTAGTTTCTATAGTGTTTAAGACCTTCCTAAACATAGATTTAGAATCACATGGACTTGGCCTCCTTCCCTCTCCACCTGCTGAAATATCCTCGCTGTGTATAGAGGGCAGGAAGACAGTCCAGGCAGTCCCGTCTGGTAGTGAGAGCTGACCTCTCTCCTGCCCTAGGGCTGAGCTGGAGTGCAGGGACCACCGACTCTCCGCCAAGAAGAAGGGGCTGCTGCTGGATCAGCGGGATGAAGACTGGGATGCCAAGAAGAGGGAGCTGGAGCTGTCTCTTCCTTCCTCGAATCAAAATACGAATAAGAAAAAGAATCAGAAGCATCGAGGCCCCACTGGAGTGAGTAATACCAAGGAGAGAAGAAAGTGAATTGGTTAGAACTGCAGACCTTGGGATCTATGCTCTCCTTGCTGTGACCCCGGGGTAGCGGTGGTCAGAGAATGCTGTTTTGGCATCTCCTTACTCAGAGACCACTACCCAGGTACTTCCAGTGTCAGCTCATGACCTGCTCTTCACTTTCGCTTCTTGCCTGGACACTGCAGGCCCCACTTTTGCCTCCCTTTTGATACCTGCTGTCCACAGAATTATCAGGAGACACGAATGTCAACTGCCTGCATTTGACTTCAGTGATGAGCACTGTCACCATCTCCTAACCTCCTAAATGCAGTGATAGACCACGCAAAGTGGTGAACGAATGTTATCTCCTGGTTTCCAGTTAGTTTTTCCTTTGTGATGTAAAAAGTCTCAAGTGTACATGACCCTTTTGGCAAGGATCACTTATGCATCAGAGGAAGCATCTGGACAATAGGCCACAGAGGGAGAAATAACTGGGAACCCTAATAATCTGTTCATTTCATCCTTCATAACTAATAAGAGACAGCATAAAATAGAGAAGCATGTGAATACAGCTCAAACTTTTCAACTATTTATTTTTAGGAAATCTAAAGTCAAATCAAATCTTTTTAATGAAAATATTGCAAATCAATTGAGATGTGTTGTAAATAGAAATTATATTGGATTTTTAAAGATGGCATGAAAAAATGTCAAAAGCTCATTACTATTTAATGTTGATTACCTGTTGGATATTGGATTAAATAAAATATATTATTAACATGACTTTTGCCTCTTTCATTTTTTAAGAAATGTAGCTACTAGAATGTTTATAATTACATGTTTGACTGGTTTGTTTTTCCCCCCTTTCACAAAGCACTGCAACAGAAACCAGAAAATATTTAGAGCTCTCAGTAGGTAACTCTCTGGGTGTACTCTAACTGGCTACTCCACATTGTAGGGTTACTAATTTTTCTGCCTTAATCAATGTCTTTAGACACCTAATATCTTTATTACACATTCTTCAAATAAAGTTTATATTAATACAGGCCATGTTTAAATTGAATGTTTGAACAACTTATAGAAAAGTAGAATACCCCTGGGGTCCATTTTACAGTGCTTATCTACCCCAAGCATCAATGCTTTTTCTCTTCCAAGTGTGGTTCTTGTTTGCCAAGCTTGTACTGCTCCTTAACCAGTACAGATATTGGAAGACACTTGACTCAATTTGAGTTAAGTTTGATTCTTCTGCAAACTTGAAGTCTCAGGAGAGAATGAGAGAGTAGGGCAAAATATCAAAATTATGGAGTAGCAAGTGCTATGGTATGAATGAAAAAGTATATGGAGGTGCAGGGATCACTGACTTAGAGGAAAGATAGATAGATAGATAGATAGATAGATAGATAGATAGATAGATAGATAGATAGAACAAATGCTGGTTTCCAGTAGATAGATAGATAGATAGATAGATAGATAGATAGATAGATAGATAGATAGATAGATAGATAGATAGAACAAATTCTGGTTTCCAGTTTTGGTTCCTTATTTATAGATATGTGAAATTGTGAAATACTACCTTTATAATAATATTTCCTCTTTTGCTAATAGTATAAGGAATTACATTTCCCCCTTGGAAGAAGTCTTTGTTTAACAAGTATTTGGTGATCAGGTTTTTTTGAATTAAGTCAGCTTTGGTTTATATCTTCCTCTATGGAGTAGACAAAATGATCCTTGCATGCTGGGGTTATTGTGAGGATGAGATGAGATGATGTACATAAAATATTAGCATTAACACACTGTAGCTGTTCAGTATTACAACTAATGTATTAGTATAGAAATGAGCTCAGTTTCCCCCTGTGAATCCCAAAGTGGTCTATGTTTCTCTATGGATCAAGTAAGGGTATCCATTGTCCAGTCAGTCAGCATCACCTGTCTTCCACTGACCAGAGAGACCTGGACATAATTGCAGTTAATGAAGTGTGGTCCAGGGGTCCATTACCATATCCACAACTCCATGGCTTCAGCATCCTCCTTGAGTCCTTTCATATGTAACCTATGGAGGCTTTAGGAGAAGGAATACACTTCTTCTCCTGTGAGTTTTGTATCATAAGTGGCAACATAATAGAAACTATTTTTGTATGAAGACTGTGTTGTAATGTAGACTCTGTATTGAGAAACTTACATGAATTGTAGTTCATCGCAGGGCATACGTCCAAGGCTAGTGTCATTATCCCTTGACTGACATCATGAACTTTGAGTTCAAAGGTCAGCTTCTGAGAGGTAAAATGACTTGTTCTCATCTCCTGGCTGATGTGTGTACAGTCTTAGTCTGCCTGGACTGCATGTTGCTCTAGCCCTTCAGACAAAGGTGCCTTGGATAAGTTGCTTGGTTTCTCTAGTTCCTTATCTGTGAGCTAGGGGGAATGCCAGGTGGCTAAGCCATAGGGTTGTGGTGAGGACTAAGTGAGATAATGTCACTTGATATATGTCAAGTGACATATATGCTTGATATATGTCAAGCATTTAGTGCAATGCCCTCCAAAATCAGGGTCATTTAAACATCAATTATTGTGGTGCTTTTATTTTCACGTTCTTCAGTATGTAACAGCCTTCCAGATATGTAATGAAGAAGAATGACTGGCTTACTAACAAGGATGAGCATGGTTCCGGAATGAGAGTATGAAGACAGCATTCTCTGAGACACACCACATCCCTGAATGAAGGTGTCCACTGATTTTCTTGTCCCTGAGCTTGAGATCTAAACAGGGCAGCCACATGGCTAAGGTCACTTCCTGGCGACCATGGGCTCCGCTTCCCTTGGAGCCTGGATGAACTTCCCAGGTCTGTCCTCACCTGGACAATACAATGTTCATGTCAAAGGTCTATGTGTAACTGATAGTTGCTTGAGGGTCTGATATTTGGGGTATTTGTTTATTCTCCCACTCTCCTCCTTAGGAAGAAATTAGCTATTTATTTTTTGCACAAATAATAGGGGTGTGTCATGTTATGGAGAGGACAGTGGTAAAGGGGGAAGATCATTCTAAGACTGATTTATCCAATTATCCACTGCCCACAATTGATTAAGTGTGGGCAGTGATTTGAGACAGGATCCTTGGAATAAAGCTAGAGGTGCAAATTTTGATTTCCGAGATCACATCTAATTATATATGGAACCTGGTTGGCTACAGAACCAGGATAAAACAGCATGCTGTCCCCAGGGAATGCACACCAGAAACCTGACTTGAACTCTTGAATTTAGATGCTCACATTTATTAGAACTATACATTTTGGACATATACAAGCTTGAACACACTAAGGAAATTATGAGGAATAACTTTTTTTTTTTATCACTGGAAAGATCTAAAACAAGCAAACTCTTCCCTTCTTCCCTTTCTTTCTTTCTTTCTTTTTGTTATTCATCAACTATGGTCTTTTATTCTATGCCTACCACTATGCTTAGTTCTGAGAATCAAAAGATGAATAAGGTCTGAATAAGTTATACATTCCTGAGAGTATTTTATTTAGCTTTGAACACCTGTTGCCCAAAAATATAATTATGAATGTTTGCTGAGAAAAAATCAAGCAAGTCACCATTAAAACCCTGGCAAAACGACACAAAACAAACAAAAACTGGCAAATGAAGTTATCTTGGTTTTATAGATTAAAATGGAGGGTGTTATGACTTGAATCGTGTGCCCTCAAATGTGCTGAAGTCCTAATCCTAGCACTTCAGAATGGGATCTAATATGCAAATAGGATTATTACAGATATAATTGATTTAGATAAGGTCACCTGGGGGAAGAGAAGGTCTCTACTCTATTATCACTGGTATCCTTAAAAAGAGAGACACACAATCAGAGGACAATCTGAGAGACAGACATAGTGGGGGAGACATCTCTTCTGAGCTAAGGAAGGAGGCCCAGAAAAGATCCTTCCCTTACAGTCCTCAGAAGGAAACCACTCTGCTGATGCCTTGATTTCAGACTTCCATCCTCCAAGTCAGGGAAACCATGCATTTCTGTATTTCTCTTAAGCCATTCAGCATCTGGTACTTTATTATGACAGCCTCAGTAAACTAATAAATACTCAGTTAAATGAAATCTAGTAAATGACTATTTAGGAGTTAATCTAATATGTCAACTCAATTGTATCCAGATGTCCAGATAACAAGATACATATTTCTGGGTGGATATTAAGTGTACTCAGTAAAGTAGCTCGTCCTCCCCAGTATGGTGGTTAGCATCACTGAGTAGAATGAAAGGTGAAAGGAGGAAGAATTTACTTTCTGTTTTTAACTTCCTAGTTGCCTGATTCAGTTGGGATATTGGATTTCTCTTGCCCTTAGACTAGAATTTTCACCACTGACTCTCTGCTTCTCAGGTCTCCTCTGGTTTGTAGGCCTTTGCGCAGCTGGAATTGTACACCAGCTTTCCTGACAACACATCATAGCTTCCACAGTTGCACAAGCCATGCATATTCATGCGTATACACAAATATACTCATGCATATTTCCCTGGAGAACACTAATACAGTACTGATCCCAGAATGAGAATGAGAAAATTCTCTGGCTAGTCATAGTCAAGTTTTTGAGTTTAATTATCTCTCATCTTGGAAGAGTTTAACAAATGTTTCTGAATGGCACTGTTGAGCACCAGGGATTTTGAAAAGCAGAATCAAGATTATAATCCAAAGCTGGTGACTTTATTTCAGAGGTATTTCCAATGTATCAAGAAGATAAATAACATTGTGTGTTTTCATTGCCCTTATCATAAGTGTTAGTTTTATGTTGTCCAATGATTATTTTAACTACATGGAAATCTGGTTTTGGCCAGGGAAAATATTTCTACCTTATTTTAAAAAGTCAGAGTAGATTCTAAGACTACACCACAGCACAGAGCATTGAGGGTGTGCCTCCATGAAATCAAAACAACTAGTTGGAAACATGCAATTTCAGTGAGTAAACTTTTTGTGAACTCGGTGGAATTTATTTTTTAACAGCACAAATTACTTGGCATTGCTTGAGAGAGAAAGTTCCAATAGTTTGATTGCAGCCAAAAACATTGTTGAAGTTTTTTCTTACAAGTGTTCTGACTTTCATCCTTGAGTTTATGAATTAAGGCCAAGATTTTGTTTTCTGTTTCTGTTTTGTAGAT